GACTTGTATAAAATGAGAAGAAATCTTCATAAGGCTATAAATTTTAGAAAAAAAATCACCAAATTATGCATGAGCACTTTAAATTCTGCAATTTTTAAAAATGAGATATACATAGATAACTATTTATCAAACTTGTACTTTATTAACTCTGAAAGCTACACTCAAAGCTTCCCCTTGAGCTTTATTGTGATCCTGTATAAATTACTTTTATAAAATTAAACAATATATTTCTGCATTGTTTTTTCTTTGTTGGACTCAAGATATTAGCCAACTAACTCTTCTAATATTTGTGTTTGGGGGCTATGTGTGTGTTTTAGCTTTCCAGATACCCTTTTCAAGAGATAAGTTAATCAATTCCCCAACTTCCTAGGATCAGTGTTGCTAAAGATACCTGAGAAAGCCCATAAAATAATACATTACATTAATATGTTTATACTTTTCAAAGCATTTTAAAGTTTTTCCAAAGGATAAATTCACAGTTGCTACTATTTTCATTTTGCAAAATAGGAACTGAGACCATTTTAGCAACTTACCCAAGGCTGCACTACCATGGTTATCGCTGGGACAGAGGTCTCCTGACTTCTAGTCTAAGGTTCTTCCCACTACCACCTGCAGTGTCTCCTAGAATACATTCCATGCATTTTTCTTTTTACTATATATACTGAAATGATTTCTCTCACCCTATGAAACTCAGCTTTTGTTTTTAAAATTTTTCTGTATTTGCATGCAGTTCTAAAAGTCTATATGGAAAAAGGAATGATTCCAGTTTCCTCAGTGTTCTGTGGTGATTGTTGATTTTAAGACTGCTTCTGTTTCATGCCCACTTTCAGGAGATTGAGTTAGTTTACACAGTTAAAGATAGAACACTTTACAAATACCAACGTCCTGCCCTGTGCTGAGTTCTGTGCTAATCTTGGGTATGTGGTTGTAACTACAGAAGACACATTTCTAATATTCAAGAATGTCAGTCTTTTGCAAAGATAGATGAAATAAAATATGTGCAAATTAATTTCTAAGCACCCTCGGTAAACACAGAAGTCTCAGGATGAATGATGAATCTGAGAAGAGTTTTGCATGGGAATGAGGATTGTCTTAAAAGTAACTTGCTTTGATAGGCAACTGAAGATCTGGTGATGTATGGTTCACCAGGAGATCCCTGAATAGACCAATCCCCATCCTGATCCAGCAACACTGTGAAGGGCCTAAGTGCCCTAACACCACAAAGTGGGAGTCGGGGTGGGCAGATAGATCGAGAAATGATGGAATTTAAATTTTAACATTTGGCTTCATGGGAACTCAAGATTAAATCACATTTTTTAAAAAGTCAAAATTTCACATGTACCTATATCCTTAACAAAATGTTTTCTGCAGGAAGTCTTGTCTCTGCTGTCTAAAGCCCAGCACATTGGATTCAGTCTACTCTGTTCTATGTGCATGATAAACAGAACTGAATGTTGGCCATTACTCACAGAGACTCAAAGTTCTTCAAGCTATTTTTTTTCTTTCTGGCTTTTGCCAAACCAAATGCAAGTTTCTCTTCTGTTAGTTTATTACAATGTATC